GAAAACTGCTGAGTACGCCATTGAGATGTCCCCCTGGGACCTTCCCTAAAATCTCCACCCTTAAACCCTTAGGACTGAGCACCCTGTCCCTTCCCCCCACTTCCCCCCAGGCGCATTACCTTCACCTTCCTCACTCCCGAACTCCAAGGGCCCTTCCTTCGCCTCTAAAACGTGTTTCTTTTTCTTTTTTTAAAATATATTTTATTGGTTTTTTACAGAGAGGAAGGGAGAGGGATAGAGAGTCAGAAACATCGATGAGAGAGAAACATCGATCAGCTGCCTCCTGCACACTCCCTACTGGGGATGTGCCCGCAACCCAGGTACATGCCCTTGACCGGAAACGAACCTGGGACCCTTCAGTCCACAGACCAACGCTCTATCCGCTGAGCCAAACCGGACAGGGCTAAAACGTGTTTCTTAAGTCCATTTCTTCTACAAATTACTTCTTCTACCTCCGTGATTTCCCAAATAAATGTTCTCTTATAGTGTGAGTCTGGGCTCCGAATTCTTTCCCAGCCAGAACTCAGGCCAGAGGCTGCTGAACCCGGGTGCGGGCTGACAGCTCCAGGCTGTCTGTCCCACTTCCCAGCACGGGGGCCCGGGGCAGAAAGGGGATCCAGGTGACCAGCACCACTAGGCGGGGCAACTTCCCACGGCCTGCGAGGCCGGGCAGGGAGCCCGACTTCTTCAAGACCTGAGAGCTGAACCTCAATAACAATGTCAGCCAGAGGGAGATGCAGAAGAACTTGGAGCGCGTGAAGGAGACGGAAAGGGCTGGCGGGCTAATCCGGCGGCGGCCCCAGATCAAATCACCAGCCGCACAAAAGGGAGCGAGGACCGAGCGCCCGGCAGGAATCCCGCCTCGGCCCCGGGGCCCAGCCTGGTGCGAACTCGGCCCGCCCGGAACTCCTGCCTCCGTCCACTGACCTCGGATGGGCTTGTCCTCCTTCTCCTCCTCTTTGGTTTTCCGCTGATCCGCACCGAGGTAATCCGGCATTTTCGGAGATGCAGCCGCCTCGGCTCCGTAGTAATTACACAGCACCTTCCTCGCTTCCGGTGGTGCCTGCCTTGTTCTTCCCCCCCCCCCCGGAAGTAGAGCCGGCTCCGCCGACCCCTTTACTCTGCGCACCGGAAGCGGAAGAGCGCCCCGGGATACGCGCGCTGGCGTCGGGATCGCGGGGTCGCGGTTGTGGGGAGTAGGAGGATTCCCTGTTAGAAGGGAGCCCAGCCCTCACTACTGCTTCCCCAGCAACAGATTTCAGGACCAACCCTGGCTCAGCCGCTGAGTTTACGTCCTAATTTAGTTATTTACCTATTGTGTACTCTTGGGCAGCTTCTGTACATATGCTTTAATTAAGCCTTTACTTCACACTATGGCGGAGGCTTTAAATAACAGTGTTTTATTGCTTAAATAACAGCATATTAAATATGCAATAACGGCTAGATCTACAAGTAGGGTGGAGGTAAAGAGGAGTTTACCTTCTATTTACCTTGAGTTATAAACTTGAGTTAACTCAGGATGGGGAGACAAATGTTTTCAATCTTTAAAAATGTATTTTTATTGATTTCAGAGAAGGGAGAGGGGGAGAGAGATAGAAATATCAATGATGAGAATCATTGATCGGCTGCCTCCTGCACACCCCCTAGAGGGGATCAAACCCACAATCCGGGCATATGCCTTTGACCAGAATCAAACAGGAACCCTTCAGTCCGCAGGCTGACGCTCTATCCACTGAGCTAAACCTGCTAGGGCTGCTTTCAATTTTTGAACCTGCTACTAAAGCAGAGTGGTACCATCCTCAGGTACAAAGAAGTCAGGGAAAAGAGCAGGTTTTGAAAGAAGTGAGTTTGGGAGATGAGGAATGAAGAGAGCAATTAGGAAACAATTGTAGAATTTAGAAATAAAGTTTGGCTCTTCTGAGTATTAGAGGATGCAACGTGAAAAGGAGAGGATAGGAGTACAGGATAGGAGAAAATATTGCAAATCATGTGATAATAGTTAATATCCAGAATATATAATGTACTACAACTCAACAAGAAAGCAAACAACCGGCCTTAAAAACTTGGAAATGACCCTGACCGGTTTGGCTCAGTGGATAGAGTGATGGCCTGCAGACTCGAGGGTCCCAGGTTCGATTCCAGTCAAGGGCATGTACCTTGGTTGCCGGCACATCCCCAGTCAGGGAGTGTGCAGGAGGCAGCTGATCGATGTTTCCCTCTCATCGATGTTTCTAACTTTCTATCCCTCCCCCTTCCTGTCTGTGAAAAAAATCAATAAAATATATTTAAAAATAAATCAATAAAATGTGCCTACTTCCTTTAAAAAAAAAACAAAAAACTTGGAAATGCACCCCGGCCAGTGTTGCTCTGTGCAGGGAAGGGTTGCAAGTTTGATTCCCAGTCAAGGGCATGTACCTGGGATGCAGGTTCCATTCCCCACCCCAGTCAGGCACGTTGGGGAGGTTGGGGCAGGGGGGAGGGGGCGACCAATCCTTGTGTCTCTCCCACATTGATGGTTCTCTCACCCAGCGGTTCTCAACCTGTGGGTCGCGACCCCTTTGGCGGTCGAACGACCCTTTCACAGGGGTCGCCTAAGACCATCCTGCACATCAGATCTTTACATTACGATTCATAACAGTAGCAACATTACAGTTATGAAGTAGCAACGAAAATAATCTTATGGTTGGGACACAACATAAGGAACTGTACTTAAAGGGCCAGAAGGTTGAGAACCACTGCATCCCTCCCCCTCCACTCTGGCTAAAAGAAAAATCAATGGGGAAAATATCCTCAGGTAAGGATTAACAAAAAACAAGGGGGAGGGATAGACTTGAATAGACATCTTTCCAAAGATCATATACTAGTAAATGCCCACTACGAACATGAAAAGATGCTCAACATCACTAGCAATTGGGGAAAATGAATCAAAACCATGAGATATCACCTGATACTCATTAGAATGGTGACTATTAAAAAAAGAAAAAGAAAACAAGTGTTGATGAGGAAGTTGGGAAAATGGAAACCTTGTACAGTTCATGGGGAAGTAAAATGGTGTAACTGCTATGGAAAATTAAAAATGAAATTGCCATATGATCCAGCAATTCCAGTTCTGGGTATATACCCAAAGGAATTGAAAGCAGGATCTTCAAGAGATATTTGCATTTCCTTGTTCATAGAAGCATTATTCAAAATAGCCAAAAAGCGAAAGCAACCCAATCAACAGATGAATGGATGAATAAAATATACATACAAAGGAATATTATTCTGGTACATACCACAATTGTGAGACATTGTGCTAAATGAGTAAATCAGTCACAAAAATGACAAAGATTGTATGATTCATCTTATATGAGATACACAGTAAAATTCATAGAGACAGGAAGTAGTGCCCTAACTAGTTTGGCTCAGTGGATAGAGTGTTGGCCTGCAGACTGAAAGGTCCCAGGTTTGATTCCGATCAAGGGCATTTACCTTGGTTACAGGCACATCCCTAGTAGGGGGTGTGCAGGAGGCAGCTGATCGATGTTCTAACTCTCTATCCCTATCCCTTCCTCTCTGTAAAAAGTCAATAAAATATATTTTTTTTTTAAAAAAAAGAAAGTAGAATGCTGGTTGCAGGAAGTGGGGTGGGGGTGGGGATGGAAATAGGAAGTTGTTTAATGGGTATAGAAATTCAGTTTTGCAAGATGAAAAGAGTTCTGGAGATTGATCGAACAATACAGTTAATGTACTTAATGCTACTAACCTTTACACTTTAAAATGATTAAGATATTAATTTTTGTTATGTAAATTTACCACGATTTTTAAAAAAGTATCCTTGCCCTAACTGGTTTTGTTCAGTAGTTAGAGCTTCAGGCACGGACTAAAGGTCTCGGGTTTGAGGTCAACGCATGTACCTGGGTTGCAGGCTCAATCCCCGGCCCAGTCGGGGCACATGCAGGAAGCAACCAATCGATGTCTCTCTCTCTTACCTTGATGTTTCTCTCAGCCACTCTCTCTCCCTTTCTCTCTCTGTCTCTCTCTTTTTCTTAAAAAAAAAAAAATACCCTTTATGACCTTAGAGTGATGGTGAGAATGGATGGGGGAGGTGGGTGGAAAAATTATTAATATTAAGAAAGTGGAGTCAGGTTACTTTGAGACTTAGAGCCTCTTTTCACAGAGGTTGATGAGTCAGGAAGAGGATTAGAGATGATTAGCTTAGTTTTTGAAATGTCAATTTTGAAGTGACTATTTTGTCATTTGGTAAAATTCAATATATTTAACAGTAAAATGTAATTCTCAGAGAATAATTTTAGTTTATGATGCTTTTTCCCAAAGAGTAGCACATCATGCCTTCTATTTTGCTCTACCTATTCCAGATTGAATGGGGGAATTAAAGGCGTGAATTTTCACCCACTGGTTTCCTTTTGCTAGTTCTTGCTTTTGACCCCAGTACAAGAAGGAATCATCTAGTAGGAGTACAACTGATTTTGTTACACATTACAAAATTAAGTTCCAGAGTCCTGTAACTGGGAAAATCTTTACAGAAAACTTCATGCTTTAGAGCAGGAGAAAAAGTTGCTGGCTTTTTATTAGAATCTAACACTAGATAGAAAAGAGTTTCTTCTCCAAATATTATGAGGATTAAACTAAATGATGTAAGTAAATTACTTTGTTACAGTACAAAAAATGTTAGCTGCTATTATTATTTAGGTAAACACAAGTGCCCTACAGGTATATGTAATCCACAGAATTCTCTATGGATGTATAAACTAGAATCATTCTCAATGTAAACACATCTTTTCCATTTTGATTATGCAAGTAGAGCTCCTGGAAAAATCGGTGGTTAGGTTCAGACAAGTATCAGTAGGAGTAAAAAAAGCAAAAAGAATATAGGAAAAGCTGCTTTAGAAAATTATGCTCTACAGTTTGCACCTGGACGAGGAAAAGTTCGTCATCCTTTTTACCTGGGAACTGATGAGTCTAGGAATCTTTCTCTCCTGAGTCTTGGTACCCAGCCGGAACTGAATCAGTGGACGCACCAGGCTGCCGCACACGCAGGCGGCGGGCTTGGAGGTCGAATGGCCCCAATACACACGAGAGATCCAACCCGGAAGTAGTTCCTGGTTGTCTCCAGGCGCCGGTTCCTGGGCGTCGTGGAGCCAAGGCGCGAGGCTCGGACCGGGAGGTGGGACTGTGGAACGCTCAGCGCGCTCCGCCCGGGACCGAGCCGCTGCGCCCGCGGGGCCGCCCCGGCGCCACCATGCTGCTCCTGCCGAGCGCTGCGGAGGGCCAGGGCACCGCCATCACCCACGCTCTGACCTCCGGTACGTGTCCACTCAACCCCGGCTCCGTCCCGCCTCGGCCCCCCTGCCGCAGCCCTCCACTTCCGCGACCCCGAAACCCCTCAGCCCCGGCCCCTGGCGACTAGCTCCCCGTCCTGTGGGGCCGTGACGAGCGCCTTTTCGCTCCCTGCTAGACAGTAACCCTCCCCCAAACTGCGAGGGAGGGGGCGCCTCTTTTCTGCCCCGACACATTTCTCTCTCCTCGCGGCCGCTGACTCATGGGTTGGGCCGAGCGGTTCGGGACCGAACCCTCCGGGACCCTGATGCCCGCTGCGAGCTGCCAGGGCGCGGGGTCGGACCCAACCTTTGCTGCTGGTGCTCGACACCTTCCCCCCTCTCTCCGTTCGCCCCGCTTTGTTTTTCAACTGTCACACCTCAGACCCCGGTCCCCATGCTCAGTAGAGAGACCCTGGCCCGGGCCGCCGCTGGGATCCGCGGGGAGACGTCAGCGCGGCCCGGCCGTGAAGCGTGCCCGGTGCTTAGGTCCGACAGGTGATGCCGCGGACACTAAGCTCGAGTCTCCGGCTCAGCGACCTGCATGAGCCACTGCAGCCGCTCGGGACGCGCTTGTCGGATGTGGTTCGGAGCGGGTATCATGGCACGTGTTGCATTCGTGCGCACTTCACCAGTGTGCCCAATGGTTGGCGCCCCCGGTACGGGCGGCCGCGGGTCCCATTCCCGGCAGAGCACCTGCCCCGGCTGCGGGTTGGAGCCCCGCTCCGGGCACAGGGGAAGCAGCGGATGGATGTGTCTCTCTTTCTTTCCTCTCACATCAACAAGCATGTCCTCAGGTGGGGATTTAAAAAACAAGCGCCCTAACCGGTTTGGCTCAGTGGATAGAGCGTCGGTCTGCAGACTGAAAGGTCCCAGGTTCGATTCCGGTCAAGGGCATGTACCTTGGTCGCGGGCGCATCCCCAGTCGGGGGTGTGCAGGAGGCAGCTGATCGATGTTTCTAACTCTCTATCCCTCTCCCTTCCTCTCTGTAAAAAATCAATAAAATATATATTTTTTAAAAACCCACAAACAAGCATGGTAAGGAAACACAGTCACACTACACAGATAGTACATATATATGTTTATTGGTTTCGGAGAGGAAGGGAGAGGGAGCGAGAGATAGCAACATCAGTGATGAGAGGGAATCATTGATCGGCTGCCGTCTGCACGCCCCACGCTGGGGATCGAACCCAAAACCGGGCATGTGCTCTGACTGGGAATTGAACCTTGGCCTCCTGTTGAACCTGGACCTCCTGGTTCATAGCTCGAGGCCCAACCACTGAGCCACGTGGGGAGGGCAGTACTTATTGAACATTACGGTTTGAATCCTCTCCTGTGTATGGTAGAGGAAATCTTAATTTCCAAAACTAATCAAAACATAAAAACTCAGTTATTTTTAGAACATTGTGGCTTTAGGTACAAGGAGTATTTACATCTGAGTTATTGATAGCTGAGCAAAGGAAGGCTTTTGCTTTCAGATGGAATATGAAATTGGAATTAAGACGTTAACTTTTTTCCCCTGACCTAAATTACATTTTTTGAAATGTGAATATGCAGATTGACAGTGACTTACCCTCACTGCCCAGGAGTAATGGTAAAGCCTTGCTCCGAAGTGCTCCCTGGGTTTGTCCGTCAGTCCTCCAAGGAGTCATGTCAGATAGATGCCTGCTCCGCTGTGAGTTGGAGGCATCTCCGGCTCATTTCACGTAGCCACCAATGGGGACCCACCCAACTCCAGCGCCTCTGACTTCAGGCAGCGCTTGCTCCACTCGGGCCGTTGGTTTAGTAAGTCCCCTTAGCTGCTGGACAATTGTCTGTCAGGACAAATCAGGGTTTTTAAATTAAGGTACTGTTAGTTGTTTTAGAAGGTTGTCTTGTTTTTGACAAGGCTAGCAAGTTTGTAACATTTCTCCCTGTTCCTCACCTTCCTCTCAGATCCCCAGAAGAGTGTTGGTTTGTTGTTGACATTGATGAATGTTTTGTTTTCTCAGCTAATTGGAAGAGGTTTATTGAATACTCTGTAAATTTATTGCTAACCCTCATGTTAACTGGATTATTGCAGCCGTTTTCTTAGTTGATGGTTTTAAAATTATATTCTGATGCTATCACTGTTTTGATCTTACTGCCTTGAAACAGATTTATTCCATGCAATACATTGAAGCCTCTCTTAACACTTTCAATCACAGCCTCAACACTCTGTCAAGTTGAACCTGTGGGAAGATGGTTTGAAGCTTTTGTTAAGAGGAGAAACAGAAATGCTTCTGCCTCTTTTCAGGAACTGGAGGATAAGAAAGAGTTATCAGAGGAATCAGAAGATGAAGAGTTGCAGTTAGAAGAATTTCCCATGCTGAAGACGCTTGATCCCAAGGACTGGAAGGTATTTAACAGCTGAACCTTTTGTTCAGTCAGATGCTGTGTTACACACAGGCAATTTTCTCATGAATCCTCCATTAATAAACCATGCTTTAAGAGGCTGCAGTAAGACAACGATAGTTGAGCACCTTTTCATTGTTGGGCCTTGAGTGGGATCGCACCAGCCATAGGATACTCTTTCTGCTGAAGACGTCTAGGAAGGCCTCACAGGGAAGATAATGTTTGAGCTGGTCTTAAAAGGATGAGAGGCAGCTTGTGAAGAAAGAAGGGAGAAAAGGTATTATGAGCAGAAGGAATAGAGATGCAAAAACACAAACGCGTAAAAGACTACCTACCACCTTTTTGGGATTAGTTAAGATTAGAGTAAGGGTTGTTCTTGAGGGAAGGTGGTGAGAAATTCCACCAAAAGCAGACTCTAGATCAGCGGTCACCAACCTTACGGACCTCACGGACCACCAGTGGTCCGCAGACCACCGGTTGGCAACCGCTCCACTAGATCAAACTGTATAGTGTCCTTTTTATGCCATGCTAAGGAAGGAATTTTATTTCAGGGCAGTAGGAAGTCATTAAAAGTTTCTAAGCTAATTTTAGAAAAGTAATTCTCCTGGCAGCACAGAAAATTACTTGAAAAGGGAGGGCAGGTCTGGAGGGGAAGTGAATAATTTGCTAGTATAGGCCTAATGCAATAATTTAAGCCTTCAAATGAATGCCTGATGCTTGAATTAAATTTGTGACTGGGTTTTGAGGAAGAGGGGATAAATTTTGGGGCGAGGGGGGTAGTCTTGAGAAGTTTTGACCTCGTCTGTGTGTCACAAGAGAAGGGAATGTATTCAGAAGACCTCTGTGCATTTGGGCTTGTTACCAACACTGGGATGCAAGAAAAGGAAGTTTGTGGGGAGTGGTGTTTGTGTTCAAATTTGGTTATGTCAAAATCGAGGTTCTGGTAACATACTGGTGAAGTTGTCTATTAGGTGGTTAAAAATTGGTTCGTGACTCTGCAAAGAGGTTAGAGGCAAAAAGCATTTGCAAGTCGTTGGCACATAGGTGATAGTTGAGGCTGTGGGAAATTGAATGACATCAGCCAAGGAGAAGAATATAGACAAATAGGTATTATTGCTTAAGTTGGTGCTAGTATAATACTTACGTGTACAGACTTTGGAATTAGAGTGCCTGAATTCAAATCTGATTCTGCCCATTTAGTGTGCTGGGACCTTGGGAAAGTTACCTGACATCTCTGCACCTCATTTCCCTTATTGGTACAATGATATTGTTAACAGCTCAGAGGATTATAGTGAAGATTAGTGAAATGATGCATATAAGGCACTTAACTAGTGTTTGGACACCTGATAAATTCAAAATAAATAGTATATAATAAGAGTTCCTATCTCATTGATTGAAGTGAATGTTAAATGAGGTAAGGCATATGTATAAAGCACTTAGAAAAGTATATAAGCACTCAGAAAGTGTGAACTGATTCTCCTGCCATCATCATCAGTTTTAAAAGAAAAGAACAACATTGAGGAGCACAGCACCGATAGATATTTAAGGGTGATTATAGGAGGAGAAACAGCAAAGGATACTAAGAAGAGTAAAAGAAGTAGAAGGAAGACAAAAAAACATTTGCTTAACAAAGTTTCATTAAACATCAGGCACTATACTCTTCCAAAAACTAAGGGAGGAGGCAGTCACAAGAAGAAAACACAATCACCAGTGTCACTGCTTTGGAGAGAGGTCAACCACATAACATAAATAAAGATAAAAAGCCACTGGGTTTGGCAAACGAAGTTTACGTGACCACCGTGAAAGCCGTTCTAGTGAAATGATTGGGGTAGCAAGAAATTGCAGTGGGTTGAAGAGTTATTAGGAGGTAATAAAATGAGACCTAAGTGTAAAATACTCTTTCAAAGCTGGGTTGTAGAGAAAATGAGAGAAAGCAGTAACTTGAGGGAAAGGAAGGATCAGGAGGACATAGAATTGGGGGGCATTAAGAGCAACAAGAGAGAAAAGGAAGAAAGAGTGGAGAAGATCTTCGGTATAAAAAAGAGTAGATTGACATCAGAGCAAGGTGGCGGAGTTCATACATTCTTTTAATTGTTTCATTCAACAAATAGGGATCAAGCACCTGCTGTGTGTTTCAGATATCTTTATGGGTGCTGAAGATACTGTGCTGAATAAGACAGTATTGCTGCTTCCACAAACCTTACATGTCAGTGAGGAAACAGATAATAAGCAAGCAATCAGGAACGTGGCCACTAAGTGCTGGGCAGAGAACAACAGAGTGATGGAGTGTTCAGGTGACTGACTTAGACTGAGTAGGTGGGGGAGGCCAGTGGAACTGACATTTAAGATGAAACCTGGATGATTTACAAAGATCAGGGAGAGGGGCATTCCGTGCAGAGAGCGTGTGCTGAGGCAGAAAGAAGTTTGGAATGTTCCAGGAACTGAGAGAAGGCAAGTGGTTGGAACAGAGTGAATGAGGGAGGGGCGAGGAAGTCAGGAGTAGTGGTCCTCAGTGAAAAGCCATTGCAGAGTTTGAAGCACTGACAATCTTTAAGAACTTAGGCGGGTGGAGGAGGGGCAGAAATGGGGAGTCATGAACATTTACACGGTTCTTACCACATTCCAGCCCAGCATTCAATCAGGTCACCTAGGATCAAAGTATAGAGAGACAAAAAGAAACCTCAGGACTGAGCTTTGCAGATCATTGATTAACTAGTAAAAATGACTGAAAAAGCTACTGATCGGTGGGAGGAAAACATAATGGATTCACAGAAACTAAAGGAAGATAACGTTTCTAATAAAAAGAGTTGTGCTGCCAATGGGAGTTGAAGCCAAGTGAGGGCAGATAGGTGATCTTGGATTTGGTACCTGGAAATTGATATTGAAAAGAGCAACTTTGTAGCACCTGGGCTAGAAGTGGACAGAGCTGAACCAGATTGGAGCGGTTTGAAAATTGATGCTAGAGGAGACAGCTTCTTCAAGGAGTTTAGCTTTGCCCAGCCCATGTGGCTCAGTGGTTGAGCATTGACCTATGAACCAGGAGATCAGGCTCAATCCCCAGTGTGGGACGTGCAGGAGGCAGCCGATCAATGATTCTCTCCTCATTGATGTTTCTCTTTCTCCCTTCCTCTGTGAAATCAATAAAAATATATTTTTAAAAAAAGAAGTTCAACTTTGATAGGCAGCTGAAAAATAGGATGGTAGCTGGAAAAGGGGTCCAGGAAAGGTTTTGTTTTTGTTTTGTTTTTTTAAGGATGAGATATAATAGAGCATCTTTTTATAATGATGAAAATAACCCAGTTGAAATTAGGAGATAGCTGAAAGATGCTAGTATTTGAGGAGCCTTAGAAAAGGTGATATTCAGAACCAAGACGAAGGAGTAATTTGTTTTGGTAAGACAGGCTTTCTCAATTATGAATAAAGGGAAAGGGGAAAAAAATGTATGGATGCAGGTAGGATGGTAGAAAGAAGATGGAATTTGAATAGTGTAACTTAAGTTTTTAGTTAAGCAAGAGGCATGGACATTGATGAGAGGGTTGAGAAGGATCTATAAGTTTTAAAGAAAGACCAGAAGACAGAAGGTATGTAATAGTAATCTTAGTGAGTGGAAAGGTGAACTAACTGAAAAAGTATGGTTGTCAGGTCTAATAAAGGGGCCAATCTCTATGAAATTTGCAATCCTGAGTTTGAAGGGAAACCAGTCAGCCTTATTTGACTTTTTTTCTCCTATCTTTTATGCTCGTAACTCCCCTTCCTTCCAACTCATTCTCCAATACTAGAGTTCTGTAAGGAGCCTTCACTCGAGTTGCTACCCCAACTTTTAAATTTGCAATGCTGTTAACCAAAGCAGAAATGAAAGAGGTACTTCTATTGAGAGAAGGCTCATCCCTCTGTTTCTCAAAATTTACATGTAACCTACCTTCTTTGGTCCCTGTGGCTCCTAGTTCTTGCCTATTACTGCCCTAGGGCTGCTGTAATGCTCTCTTCAGATCTGAAATCTTCCTGGCTACACTTTCATTTAAGAATGGCCATAGTATGTTAATAGATTTTAAGAGGAAAAGGCGTCCTATGGTCAAGTAAGCTTGGAAAATGCTAGGTTTTACAGATTTCTGTTTTCTTTTTTTTTTTTCTTTTTTTTTTTTAAATATATTTTTATTGATTTTTTACAGAGAGGAAGGGAGAGAGATAGAGAGTTAGAAACATCGATGAGAGAGAAACATCGATCAGCTGCCTCCTGCACATCTCCCACTGGGGATGTGCCCGCAACCCAGGCACATGCCCTCGACCAGAATCGAACCTGGGACCTTTCAGTCCGCAGGCCGACGCTCTATCCACTGAGCCAAACCGGTTCCGGCTATTTCTGTTTTCTTAATTGCAGAACTTCTCAGAGCCTTTATTAGGCTTATGTGCATCAAATCATTAAAAAGGCTATACAAGAGTCTGCATTTCCCAAACTTAAATGACCACAGAACCCATTTTATACAGAATGTCTCACTGGACTTCAATCATGGGAACATCTTTGGGAAGCACTGTTTCAGGGTGCCAAAACACAAGAGATAGTAGTATATATTGCTGCATTTTAAACTTGACTCCCTTTTATGTCTTTATCAGAACCAAGATCATTATGCAGTACTTGGACTTGGCCATGTAAGATACAAAGCTACACAGAGACAGATCAAAGCAGCACGTAAGTATTTAGTTATTTTGAAATAATCAGATATCTGGCATAGGAAATGTTTTCCTTTTGAAAAAATGTGCAGGATCGTAGTCTATAGCCATAACTCTAAATTGAACCGCATGTATCATATGGTTATACCAATGCATGACCACACTCTCTACCTTCAGAACCAGGAAAATGTTAAGTTGGAAAAAAGCAGAATATAAACTGATATATATGATAAGATTATACCTAAAATTTTTGAAGCATATGCTTAAGGGAAAAAAGTCTGTGAAAATACACTAAAATGTTAACAGTAATTGGCTTTAGGTGCTGGCACTTTGGCCACTTCTTAAATGATTCTTTGTTTCTCTGATTTCCACATTTAATAAGCCTATGTTTTACCATAGGCAAAATATTTTTAAATTAGCATTATGATTTTAGAAACGCTATTTAGCTCATCTTTTTTCTTAGTTTTAATGTCTAAAGTAACAAATTATCTAAATCTGGCTTATTTTGTAGATAAAGCAATGGTTTTAAAACATCACCCAGACAAACGGAAAGCAGCTGGTGAACCAATAAAAGAAGGAGATAATGACTACTTCACTTGCATAACTAAAGGTAAGGAAATATTTTAGAGTCAGGCATTTCTAATAGTGATGTTACATGTGGTTATTTTTGGTAATTTTCCCCAGAACCTCACTACACAAAGTGAGGTTCTCTCAACCAGCAGCATCAGCAACACCTGACAGCTTTTCAGAAATGCAGAAGCGCAGGCCCCACCCTAGACCTATACTGAATAGGAATCTGTATTTTAATGAGATCACCAGGTGATTCTTTTAAGAAGCTCATCCTAGGGTGAATTCATACCTGTTACAGCTAATGATGAAAATACTAAAATCTTTCTCATTTCAGATACTTTATGGGACTAAACCAGGGGTGGGCAAACTTTTTGACTCGAGGGCCACAATGGGTTCTTAAACTGGACCGGAGGGCCGGAACAAAAGCATGGATGGAGTGTTTGTGTGAACTAATATAAATTCAAAGTAAACATCATTACATAAAAGGGTACGGTCTTTTCTTTTTTTAGTTTTATTCATTTCAAACGGGCCGGATCCGGCCCGCGGGCCGTAGTTTGCCCACAGCTGGACTAAACTGTTCCTCAGACGTTTTGCTAATTTATATTAAGTTGCTTGTATCCTAATATAGGACCCACAAATGTTAATTGGTAATTACATAACCATGTCCTTGCTAAGCAGATTAATATAGGTGCCACCATTTCTAAACGTTTCCTTAAATGTGATTTTACATTTTGATGCTAATTTTTTAAAAATTGTAACACACCTTTTAACTGTATTCTTATTGGCCCACTTTTACACAATGCTCAAGATGCCTGAGATCCTTTGATTGTTCACAACCTGGGGATCTAAGTTAATTTTCTAACAATTTGTTTTTCCTCAGAGTCATGTTTTCTTAAGGGATGAGTATTTTTTTACTAGTTTTTTTATTTTTCAATTACACTTAACTTACAATATTATATTAGTTCAGGTGTACAACCCAGAGATTAGACATTTATATAACTTACGAAGTGATCACCCAGTAAGTCTAGAACCTATTTGACACCATACGTAGTTATTGCAATATTACTGACTATGTTCCCTATGCTGTACTTTATAAACATCCCCATGACTATTCTGTAACAACCAATTTGTACTTCTTAATTCCTTCACTTTTTCACCCATCTCACCAACCCCTCTTCCAAAATGTTCTCTCTCTATATGAGTCTGTTTCTGTTCTGTTTGTTTGTTTATTTTGTTTTTTGGTTTCCACACATAAGTGAAATCATATGGCATTTGTCTTTCTCTGTCTGACTTATTTCAGTGGTTTTCTGTAGTAGTGTCCTATAGAGTCCAGTGGCGCATCCTCTTGGGTCACCTGAGCTGGGTGCTCCAGGTGGGTGACCCATGTGGATTGGCTTGAAGGACTGGGCGCAACCACCATGGAGGATCTGCTGTTCAGGGGCCAACACCACAGAGCAAGACTGGCTGCTATGGGGCTCCCGTGCCTAATGAGTCTGCCTCGAGTGTGTCGCTCATGGAGGTGGTCGAGTGGTCCTTCAGCATGGTCTGAAGCTGTCCACCAGGTGCACTGGCTTTGGGGCCTCCTGAGAGGTGCAGGCCAAGGTCAGCCACCACCTGTGCCTTTTCTAGAGCTACTCGGCATGAGCCACAAAACAATCTGCAGATGGCTGCTGGGCTTGGAGGTGCCTGGAGAAGAAAAGCTGTGTGTGTGCTGAAGCCAGTCTAGGGCCACTTAGCAGTATGTACAAGGCATATGCTGCTTGTTTGGGGTTTGTGAAACTTTTAGAGATTGTGGGGAAGTCCAAAGCATGAGTGAAGACAGGCCATTTGTATGAAAAAGCCACTGGAAAGAAACAGCTGGGTGGGACAGGGTTTCAAGAAATCAGGGCAAGGTGAACAGTGTTGCCAGGTTGGGGGAGACTCAAATAGGCCACCTGCCTGCTGATTCTGTGGGGAGAGGCCTCAGCAAAGGAACAGTGGCCTCTGCCAGCATTACTGTCTAGGAGAAAGTTACCCCGTCAGCTCTCACCCTAATACCAGACAATTCAGTTCCTCCCCGTATGTCCCTGGTGACTTTCAAACTGCTGCCCAGTGCTGGAGTTCAGAGCGAGTGAGTCTGTAAGTTTGTGCGCAGGCCCTTGAAGAGGAACACCAGGAACTCCAGCAGCCTTCATCTCAGCCACCATCCCTGCTGGTTTTCACAGCCCGAAGTTATGGGACTTTTCTTCCCGGCACTGGAACCCTGGGCTGGGGAACCTGGTGTGGGGCTGGGACCCCTCACTCCTCAGGAGGTACCTCTGCAGCTGAGTTAGCCTTCCTGATTGTTACCCACCACATGTTGGTGTGGGCCCGCCCATTCCACCATTCCACATCACCCCTCCTACCAGTCTCAATGGCTTCTTCACATCCATAGTTAGAGGACTTCTATTCAGCTAGATTGCAAGGGTTCTGAATGATGGCTGTTTTGTAACTTAGTTGTAATTTTGATGTGATTGTGGGAGGATGTGAGACCGCATTTACCTGTGCTGCCATCTTGACCAGAAGCCAAAGGATGAGTATTTTTAACTGTTGTTTTGTCATTTGCCTTCCAGAAGAGCCACTTAAAGAGGTTAAGTGCAATTATATCTAGTAGTGCTAGAGCTTTCTTCACCTAGATTAAATTCTACCCCCCAAGCACATAAAATTTTAAATGTGAAAAATAATGACTTTTTTTAAAGGAAGGGGAATTTTTTTTTTCTCACAGGGAAAAAAATGTCAAGTCATGGTAATATGACCTTATCATTTTTTCCTCAGCTTATGAAATGTTATCTGATCCAGTGAAAAGACGAGCATTTAACAGTGTAGATCCTACTTTCGATAACTCAGTTCCTTCTAAAAGTGAAGCAAAAGACAATTTCTTCGAAGTGTTTTCCCCAGTGTTTGAAAGGAATTCCAGGTGAGTTAAGGCATCCCCTTGTGATCATTATGCTCTATTGCAGCAGTTTTCAACCTTTTTCATCTCATGGCACACATAAACTAATTACTAAAATTCTGCGGCACACAAAAAAAATATATTTTCTGCCGATCTGACAAAAAAATAAATAGGTATAACCAGACGGCTATTGTTGTGTTGGCTGTCGTCATATTTTTATTTGACATTCTAAGGGAAAAGAGGTCAGTGCCCCTGACTAAATAGTCGGGTATTGCATGTTTTAAAAATTCTTGTGGCACACCAGTTGAAAATCATTCCTGTATTGGCCTGCTTCTTATAGTTTCTAGGTTTCTGTTTTGCTCTCTAAACAGAAGTTTTACTTTTCCATAGTGAAATTCTTTTATAACTCATGGAATGTTTTTCTTTTGAGTTTTCCTGGGGGGCAGACTGCTTTTATGTAGTGTGATACCGTTACTTAGGTGACAGTAATTTCCCATTTTTTTTGTTTCTCTTTTATTAATGGGTACATTGCTCTATTTGGCCCATTATCACTTGAAAAAAGCTTTTGTTCTTTTTTTTATACATATTTTTATTGATTTCAGAGGGGAAGGGAGAGGGAAAGAGAGATAGAATCATCAGTGATCAAAGAGAATCATTGATTGGCTGCCTCCTGCATGCCTCACACTAGGGATCAAGCCTGCAACCAACTCAGGCATGTGCCCTGACAGAGAATCGAACTGCAACCTCCTGGTTCATAGATCGACACTCCACCACCAGGCCATGCCGGCCAGGCTTTTGTTCCATTTTTTGAGCATCTGTTTATCATAAGGTTCTCTGACTAAGGATGATTTATATTTAAGATTAAAGCATATTTAATTTCTTTCATTTAAGTCAGTTTTTACATAGGGTGTACCAGTATTCTAAATTTTTTGGTTACATCTGCATTGAAAGGTTTTTTATGGAGTACATCTGGACTGCAAATGGATTCAATTGTAGAGTCTGAAAAATTTCTGATACCTAAAGAGATTGTGATTTAAGTTTAATAGTTTTCGAATTCATGTAGGGTTTTTAATGTTCCTAGGTGATGCTAATGTGCATCCACATTTGAGAACCACTTTGATTAGCCATTTGGTGTGGTCTAATATTTCTTCTAATCTTTTTCTTCACTTTTGTTTTGTAACAGTATTGAAGGTGGTAAAAAAAAAAAGACAATGTATTATTTTATTGTAGAATGGTTTTATAGAATGGAAAACAAGTCAGTAAGTAGCCTTAAGATCCTTTTACTATGTGATATATGTGATGGGTGAGGTGCTGAACCTAAAAGTCTGACTTTTAGGGGGAATGTGGTGGTGATGAGGGGGTGGAAATTTATTCCCTCTGTGAGTATTAACATTTTTTAAAAGGCTAGGCCTGCAGATTGCTGTACTGCCCGTTTACGGGGAAAGGGGACTCAGGGCCTGTTTTTCCAAGCCAGCCACTGGCAGCTGCTACAACCCTGTAACTTACAGACTGATGATAACCTGATGGTTAAAACACCATTTCATTGTTTCCTCGCCCATTCCTATCCATCCTTGTCCTCTATTGCACCTGTGTTGTTCAGCACACCACTCCTAATTTTCCAGCTCCATCTCTTTAGTCTTAGAGGACCTAGGAGAGGAAGATTTAGGAGAGGAAGAATTTGTCTGTTGAACTTCTGTACCAGATTTTTAATTGAATTTTCTTTTAATATTTCAGATGGTCAAATAAAAAAAATGTCCCTAAACTTGGTGATATGAATTCATCATTTGAAGATGTAGATGCATTTTATTCTTTCTGGTAAGTGGATACACTGATTTTATGATGCTGTGATTTTTTTTTTTTAAAGACTAAGTATTCAGTAAATACTTGATTGACTGTTCATAAATTAATCGAGGGATCAAAAGCACTTTGTTCAGAAATTAATAAACACTCTATTAGCTCCTATATGATATTTAGGCTTTTATGATTGTTTTTTCAATGTTTTCTATTAATCAGATTTCTAGATACCACGCACACTCTAATGGTAAAAAATTAAAACTGAGTAGTCATTTGAATTGAATAAAAATAAATACATCTTCACTAGCTATCTTGCTATTAAAAGTACTTGAGTACGTGTGGAAGAAACAGTACTATTTGTCTCTATAACTAATTTCTTAATTTTTAATAAGCTTAATATTCAATGGCCACTGTATTTTCTCATTAATATCTGATATATTAAAACATAAAATCACGTAAAACAAAAATGACAAAACTTAGCTCTATCAGTTTTAGTTGCTAAAAATAACCACTACTATGGTTTAAGAGTTGACAGAGTAGCAATGGTGAAGGCAAGGAAAACTTAACAAGTCCCCAGCGAGAGAGAAACCTACTAGAAGAACTAACAAGGAGGTGTGATTTTTGACTGGAGGGGAATGATAAGTATATTTTAGATTTTCATACAATGTCATTTAAAAAGGAAGAAAAGACTTGAACATAGTGTTAATTCAGTACCAGAAGGGAGTGGAGGGGATTTATTTAAAAAAAAACAAAAAACTCATTCACTTGCCATTAATATTGGGGTTTTTGTTTGTTTGTTTTGTTAATCCTCACCCAAGGATATTTTTCCCATTGATTTTTAGAGAGAGTGAGAAACATTAATGTGAGAGAGACACATTGGTTGGTTACCTCCCACACACACCCTGACTGAGCCAGAGATTGAACCTGCAAACCAGCTATGTGCCCTTGACCAGGAATTGAACCCGAGACCTTTCGATGTATAAGCTGGTGCTCTAACCCAGTGGTCGGCAAACTGCGGCTCTTTGGCCCCTTGAGTGTGGCTCTTCCACAAAATACCGACTTCTGCGCATGGGCCACGAAGTTTCAATCTCACTGTACGTGCGCGCCCACACGTGGTATTTTGTGGAAGAGCCACACTCAAGGGGCCAAAGAGCCACATGTGGCTAGCGAGCCGCAGTTTGCCGACCACTGCTCTAACCAATGAACAATATCAGCCAGGGCTGCCATTAATGTTTTTTAAAGTTATATACCTCTAAGTTAATTTTAAAGAGTTTATTTTTTTTAATTTTACTTATTTCTGTCTACAGGTATAATTTTGATTCTTGGAGAGAATTTTCTTACCTAGATGAAGAAGAAAAAGAAAAAGCAGAGTGGTATGTATATCAATCATTAATAAAGGGAGATTTTATTTAAATTATATTTTAATTGATTTCAGAGAGGAAGGCAGAGAGAGAAAGAGAGAAACATTAATGATGAGAGAGAATCATTGATCGGCTGCCTCCTGCAAGCCGCCTACTGGGGATTGAGCCCGCAACCCGGGCATATGCCCCAACCGGGAACGAACTGTGACCTCCTCCTGATTCACAGGTCAACGCTCATCCACTGAGCCACAATGGCTGGGCAAGGAAGATATTTATTTGCCTTTTTGGTATTTGTAATGATGTAAAAATATACTATATATAAATGCGTTTTTGATATTTTGAGAGCCCTCCTCTCATATGTTAAGCTAGATGAAGCCAGATCAGTAGTTGGTTAAGATATACTTAGGAAAAGGCCAGGGAATATAGAATTGTCCAAAAAGCTCAATTCAGTGAATTCTTTTTCTTCTGGGTGCTTAACCTATGTTTTATTTTAATTTTCCCTGGGAAATTGTTTGACATAAATATTCCAAAAATATTAATCCAAATTAATTATAAGTAAAATCATGCATTAATGTTAGTAGCATAACATAGCATTATGACCTTCTCAGACATTATCCTATCTAATAAAAGAGAAACATGGTAATTAGCCGTACGGCCGCTACCTTTCCCATTGGCTAATCACTGAGATATGCAAATTAACTGCCAACCAAGATGGCGGCCGGCAGCCAGGCAGCTGACGCGAACAGGGAGGCTTGCTTGCTCCAGTGACGGAGGAAGCCAGGTTCCCCGCCTGCCTTGCCAGCCTCTCAGCTGCTCTCTAA